CCTAAACCCTCAACCCTGAACCTAAACCCTCAGAACTGTGATCTTCAACCCAGTGCTGTCGAGCATACGGAGGGCGCTGGAGGCTGGCTTTCGGTTTAAAGCTGAAGGTGTAGCGTTTAGGGTTTAGGGTGGCGTTTAGGGTTTAGGGTTTAGTTTAGGGTTTAGGGTTTAGGGTTTAGGGTTTAGGGTTTAGGGTTTAGGGTTTAGGGTTTAGGGTTTAGGGTTTAGGGTTTAGGGTGGAAGGTGTAGCATTTAGGGTTTAGGGTAGAGTTTGCCTTTTTTTTTGGGGGGCGGGTTGGGATTCTAAGCCAAAATGCATGAGCCAAAGGATTTGCATAGACGCCTCAAGCGTTAGAATAGGCAGGGTTTGAGGGAGTATCTTATAGTATACTTATCATAGGAACCCAAAGGAAGAGTTCCTTTACTTACTTCCCCAATAAGCCAGGCAAACAAAAGGTTAAACTATCAGATTACTACTAAATTACAAGAACCCAAAAAGCTTAAAGGCCCTATAGTACCCTTTAGAGGAACCCTTCACGGAACCCTTATAAGAACCCAAAAAGTCTCAAGGTTGGGTATTGGGGAAGAGCCGGGCCGCAGCTGGCTATGGTGCACGACTGGTACTCAGACCTGCACAGTGCAACAGCAAGCCTGCGGATCTATCATGGCGGCCTCTGTACTTATAATATAGGGTTTAGGGTTTAGGGGAAAGTTAGGACATGATTATCCTCGTGCCCTTAAGGTAAAGTTTAGGGAATCCCAGCACTGATCCACCTAAACCCATGTTCCAACTTTCTGGGATTCCTTGTAGGGCTTTAGAGTTTCAGTGTTTAGGGCTTTGGGGTTTTAGGGTTTAGGGTTTAGGCCTACGGTTTTGGTGGTAGGTGATAGTTGAATAGCGTAGTGACTCTACAGGGACAGTATTCGTAGTTAAGTCCATGTTAGAGGGGCTGCAGGCCCCGGGAAGGTAGCGGGGGGTTTACGGCTGTGCCCTAAACCCTGAACCCTAGGGTTTCGGGATTCAGGAGGCTGAGGGTTTCGGGCTTTGGGGGTTCGACTGGAGACCCCTGAAACTGAGTTCTGACCCCAAACACTACACCTTGAACCCTAACCCAAGCCCCGCAACCTCACTGTCCTAAACCCTTTCCCCTATACCCTAAACCCCAAACCCTAAATCCCTAAAAACCCGAAAATCCTACAAACCCTAAAGCCTAAATCCCTAAAACCCTAAACCTTACTTCCACCATACGCCCTAAACCCTAAACCCTAAACCCTAAACCCTAAACCCGAGAAGACTTGGATTCCAAAGGATTGGGGCGTCAGGTGCAGGGCTGAAGGCTTAGGTTCAGGGTTTAGGGTTTAGGGTTTAGGGTTTAGGGTTTAGGGTTTAGGGTTTAGGGTTTAGGGTTTAGGGTTTAGGGTTTAGGGTTTAGGGTTTAGGGTTCAGGGGGGGTTAGAATTGCTTTGGATATCCTGAGACAAAGGACCCATCAAACAAAAAACCCTAAACCCTAAACTCTAGACCCTGAGCCCTAAACCCTAAACCCTAAGCCCAAGGGACACTGAACCAGCTGCTTTAGGCTTTCAGGACGCCACCGCAGGCCCACTGTAGCGTACTTTACGCTCAAGACTCTCAGACCTGTGCATGCAAGAGCTAGTGCCTCGATTGGGGGTTTAGGGTTTAGGGTTTAGGGTTGGACTGAGCCGTTTGAGGTTTTGGGTTCTAGGGCTTAGGGTTTAGGGTGTACGGATCCAGGGTCTACTTAGAGGGTCGGGGCACTGAGTAAGTAGGTGTTAAGCAGGGTTATAAGTACCCTAAAAGGGATCAAACTTGGGGTTATGATACTTACTAAGTTCCCGACCCTCCAAGTAGGGTCTATAGGGTCTAGGGTTTAGGGTTTAGGGTTCGGGGCACTCGTTGAAAGGCAGCAAACTTGCATGCAGCTGCTAGCTGCTAGCAGTGGGAAAATTCGCCCCCACCGCTTAGGTAAACGGCAACGCTCTGAAGCCCAAGATCTTTCAGGATTCTATATGGTGCTCTTCTTTATGATTCTATACATTACAAGCTTTCAGAGCTAAACCCGGGAGCTGCCACTGGGTATCAAAAGCCCACAAGTCGGAACAGGAGCTCCGTAGGATGAGTTTTTCTAAGGTGACCTCGCAGCGTTTAGGGTTCTTTCAAGGAACTCCGCTTAGGGTTTAGGGGCTTGAGGTTTAGGGTTTAGGGTTTAGGATTTAGGGGTTTCGGGTTTAAGGGTTTAGGGGTATAGGGTTTAGGGCTTAGGGTTTGGGGGTTTAGGGTTAGAAGTATGGGCCCCTAATGTGGACCCTTAGGCCTTTCTAGGGACCCTTAAGGGTACATATAGGGTATTATAGAGTAGGTATATAAGGATCGCACCCTTAAGGGCTCATACCAGGGGCCACGGTTTCAACCTCAGAGTTTTACGTTTTAGGGGTTTGGGTGTTTAGAGGTTTGGGGGTATAGGGTTTAGGGGTTTAGGGGTTTGGGTTAGGGGTTTAGGGGTTTGGAGTTTCAGGGTTTAGGGGTTACTTGGAGGGTCCGAGGACTTAGTAAGTAGATATTAAGTAGACTTATAAGTACCCGAAAAGAGATCCTAAGTGGGGTTATGATACTTATAAGTCTATACAATAGCTAGTTACTAAGTCCCCCGACCCTCCAAGTAGGGGTTTAGGGGTTTGGGGGTTTAGGGTTTAGGGCTTAGGGCTTAGATGTGTAGTTCTCTGAACTAGGGCCTAGGGGGATCCTTAAAGGGATTTTGAGGGTTTCTACAGGGCTTCTAGCATAAACTTTCAGTTTATAACCCCCAAAAGTGTAAAGTGTACCTTTTCAGCGACCCAGTAATTAGTGCTGCATGTTCATATGGGTCCACATGGTCAGTTCTCTAAACTAGGGTCCCTGTTAGGATCCTTTTTATAAGGCTGTCGTACTGCATTGGGGACCTAAGAAAAGGACCCTAATCTAGAGAACTACCGATATACTTTTCATCATGGCACATACGACCCCTTCTGAAACTTAGCTTTAAAGACCCTCAACCCCTAACCCTAAACCCTCTAACAGGAACCTAACGAAACCCAAAGTTTAGAGCCCGAAGGTCCTAACCACCCGAGCTACGAGTAGGTCCCAAACGGATAATATGGGCATGAGCATAATATAGAGGGTTTAGGGTTTTGGGTGTAATGCAGGGGCCTTAATAATTAGAATAGGGTTTTGGGATCCTTTATAGTATATTTATCATAAGGAGCCCCTAACAATGATATAGGTAATTATTTAGGCTTCTATATAGAGGAAACCCTAAACCCAAAAACCCTAAATCCTAAACCCTGAACCCTAAACCCTAAACCCAAAAGCCCTAAACCCTAAACCCTAATACTAAGTCCCCCGACCCTCCTTATAGATCCCTTTAAGGATCCCTTTGAGGATCCCTTTAAAAGGAGCCCTTCAAGGAACC